TTAGGTTCTGTCATTCTGTTTCAAAAATACGTGATGAGGATATGTTTCTTACATTTTCTAATCCCAACGTGCATGCCTGGCGCTAGATGATGGATGAACTTTTTAGGGGTTTACTATTCTGCAACTAAATGCCAAGCCTAGTAGAATCACTTATCCGAAATTCAGGAACCCAGATTCACCTCTTGTCTACCACATGATAGACCTCACTTCAATTTTCGGTTGGAGAAAATGCGTAATGCAATAACTCCTTCAAGGTGTTGACTGTGCGAGTTCCTTCAAATGTTACTTCGGATGTCAATCATGAGCTGTGATACATTTGCCATTGGTATCATATATCATATCGTGGGGAAGGGAATCTTTGATTGGGAAATGGTCTCCCTTGATTGAAGCTATATGAGCCTTAGCAGTAAGCTACTGGATGCTAGAAACTTCCTGCTGTATCGTGATTTCTCCATGGAAATGAACTGGCGTAGAAATTTTCAAACTCCAGACAATAGCTTTCATCGTGCATAGGCTTATGTTACGCATGCAGGAAGCACATGCTATATCATCCAGTCTCAAGTAGAGACTACTTGCGAGTGAAGTATGTCAGGGCTGTCAGCTGTTCATCCAAACAAAGCTTCGTATGGGAATACATGCCGATGGCAAATAGTGCTTCCGGAGAGAACACGATAACGATTCCAAATCTAAATATCATATGAACAAACTGTTTAACTGTAAAATTATTCGAAACGATTGTTTAGCAGATAGTCCATAAAATTGGTCCTCGCTGGATATCTACACTTGTTGCTTCATCGAGCTATTGGTGGGTAGCACACTCGTGAAATCAACGAGTTTAAATCGACAATGAGGATCATGCTGTGAACCTAGGGACGATCAATGACTATGTTCTTAATCCTTCTAATTCCGTTGCAACAACTCATACAATTTGAGAATGTTGATGTCGTCTGAACATCTTTCAACAATTCCATACCCGAATCCGTCAAATGATCCATTACCTAGTTGGCTCACCGGGAAGCGATTGCGTAGGGAAATTTGCATGCAGTGAGAGGTTACCATTACATAAGCACAATGACACAGCAAGATCATCCACACACCAATCATACCGCGCTAACAACCCCACAGAGTGCGGGGTGGAGTGTAATCATACCCAACAATTATCTTAACATTACTATTTCGTACCTCTCTTAACCTTCCCAGTCACATATATGATCAGAGATAATTCATTGTGATTCAGTCAATTCCGTACCAAGAAATCAACACAGTCCTTTCTCTAAATTCAAACCACGTTTCCTTTTCTAACAGGTTTTCCTTTTCTATTGTGATCGTCACCAGACAACTTGTACCTGCAGATACATCCACTCTTACCACTAATTCTCTTGGGTACTTAAAGTACGTACTTGATCAGTCCTCGAATCTAACGGACAGTATACAACATCCAACAACAAACAAGACTTCCAATACACAAGATATCTTTTTAATTCCCACTTTACAAACAATATCACTATCACCCACACATTTTACATTCTCACACACAGAACAAAATGGCATCCGGTGGCGCCTCTCCTCTCTCAGCCGCTTCCCCCGCCCCCTCCCTTCGTGAATCAACCAACCCATCTATTTCCTCCCCCTTAGCCCAAACAACCAACTCCTCCTCTACCTCTCCACCCCCCACGAAAATATGCGTCTTCTGCGGTTCTTCCCCAGGCCTCTCTCCTTCCCACATGGCCATGGCGCGTTCACTCGCTGAACACATGGCCTCGCAGAACATATCACTCGTCTACGGCGGCGGCACCGTCGGACTCATGGGCGAAGTAGCTCGAACGCTCGTTGCACTCTCCGGTCCCACTTCCGTGCACGGCATCATACCCGCTCCATTGGTGAAATATGAGCGCGGGCCCAACAGCGACGCGGCGAGTATCCATAGCAAGGAAAACGGAACCGGGACACCAGAAAACGGGGATGGACTTCCTGAATATGAGATTTATGGGAGGACGACTGTGGTGAAAGATATGCATGCGCGGAAATCAATGATGGCTAAAGAAGTTATTGCTGGCGGTCCGGGCTCGGGCTTCGTTGCGTTACCCGGTGGGTATGGTACACTCGAGGAATTGATGGAAGTGGTTACCTGGAATCAGTTGGGTATTCATACGAGAGGTATTGTAGTACTCAATGTCGATGGATATTGGGATGGACTAATGGCGTGGGTTAAAAATTCCGTGGAAGCTGGATTTGTGGGAGAGGCAAATAAGAATATTGTGGTTGATTGCAAGACGGCAGAAGAAACAATACAGGCGTTGAGGGACTACAAGCTGACGGAGGGAAGATTCAAATTGGAGTGGGGCAATGAGTAGACAGGTATCTTGTCTCTTGAGGATAAAAATGCTGAATAAAGTATGGAGATGTTGCATTTGCAGACACGTTAGTCTTGTTTTTACGTTTTGGATAGGCGCCCGTCTACAGCGCGGAATACAAAACGGATTCATGAAACCATCATCACAGACATCAACCTCTTCCTCCTTTCTCACGAGAATACAGAAACGCTGGGTATATTCGAAACCAAGGAGTACAAGCCCGACGCAGGAGACGGAAGGCAACATACCCCTCAGCATTTTAGATTTTGGCACTGCATAGTTAGCATGGATTATAGCGTATAGAATATCACCGTATCAGTATCCTGTGCGTGATCAATGGGTGCATGTGATATGATATACTAAGCTATTCGAAATCATGAAGCAGTAAGGAAAGGACATACCGGACATGAATTGGGTTTTTGTATGTACGAGGTTTTCTGTCGAATATCACAGAATAGAAAGTATTCAATTCACATCAGAAACGCTACTCTTTAATTCTCCAACTTACACTCACTCGCCTCTCTTCGACCCCTAGATGATCATACATCTCAACTTATAACATATTCTCACCTACTTCTCCATGGCCACCCCCAAACTTTACCCTACAGACATAAAGCAGTCACGGAGGCAGGTCATCTTGCCTCCTATATTCTCCCCCCCTTTAGAGAAAAAGAAATCTTCCAACCTGCATTCTGTGAGCATTGTGTATACTCTGAACATCCAAGAGATTTATTACCATCCTGACCGCATCCTCATTTTTCATTTTAAATCCCATATATATCAGTATGAAAACTATTCTATACTTTTAGCGCAGATTCTTAAAGCAGTCTTCTGGATGTCTCGGATAATTATAATTATGTGTATCTTCCGAATTGGATCCAAAAGTTCAGGAGGAGATAGCGCCAGGGTTAGCATTCCCACGTCCTCTGACTATACCTTGATTGAGCCAATTGAGTTTAAAATCCAAATCACTTTAGGCTACAAGAATATTGCGTTCAGAGCTTATTTCTATTAGCTAAAGTCATGATCCATAGTGCCATCCATATTGTTCGACCTTCATTTATGCATCTACCTCCATCGAATCACCACCCTCCACAGCCTCGGTACCTTCTGCACCCTCTGCACTATCCGCTGCCAAATCTACCCACTGCTTTACATCCTGGCCATCAAATAGCTTGAAACCCTCAATGTTCTTAGCTCCTTCTGCCTTAACTCCCACGACTCCCACACTCGTATTCTCGACCGTTAACTCCTTATCTTGAGCTAAAGATTCCTTAAGTGCTCTTAAACCATGCTTAACCAATTCCTCTCTTCCACAGTCTGGAAACTCCTCCAAATGTCTCTCCAAATAAGTTCTGGCCATTTGACTCCTCGCACCAATCGCACACGCATTCATTTCCTGCGTCATGCCCGAGGGTTGGAACTCGAATAGATGAGGTCCGGTTTCGTCAACACCGGCTACGAGAAGACCTACACCGTAAGGACGCTTGCCGTAATGTTGAGTATTGGTTTGAGCGCGGTCACCGATTGAAGCGACGAGTCGTTCGATGGGGATGGCTCGGTCGTATGTTAAACGCGAGGCGAGTGTTTGATTTTTCATGAAGTTGGAGAGGACGCGGGCGTCGGAAGCAAGACCAGCGAGGGCAAGTCCGACGTGCTCATCGATTGCGATTACTTTTTTTTGGTAGGAGGAGAGTTCTTCTGCGTTTCTCTGTTTGGGAAAGGATGTGTTAGTTTTAGTTCAGTATTATAAAATGGAGGTAAAGCAGCAAAGAATTCATTGTGCTGTATCATATATTCTGCTGTTTGCAGTCGTAGCAGAAAGTAAATAGTCCACAACTACTAACCTTTAAAGCCACAAGAACGGCATGAGTCTTGCTAACTATTCCCACCACAACACTACCCTGCTTCACAGCCTCCGAAGCATATTCGACTTGAAAGATTCGACCTTGTGGGGAGCTATAATTGACATCTCATCAGTTTCAATTTCCATTTCCATGCCACCAAGTAGTAATCGACTTACAAGGTAACAGAATCGTTATCATAATTGTTTCTAAACATCTTGAATAAAAAGCTCGTTGAAACCACTCGGACGCAGAGATAAAAACACGGGTATCTTCAAATATGCGTCAAAAACTTGGGATGGAGTGGTTGAGAAATGGAAATTGCAGAATGGGAACTGGACGCTTGGGAATGAGGCAGACACGATGATGAGGCAAGCTCGAACTGTTGTTAGGTATGATTTAGAGTAGGTAGCTAGAAGTTTAAAATGGCAAGAGTTTGAGGGTTATTGTTGGCGAAAGGGAAGATAGTTAGTGCTGCTTTAGTGAGTGGAACAACAAGGCTATGAAGCTATCAAATAAGCGCGTGCTTCCGAAACGTCAGCTCCAAGGCGGTTGGTGATTGAGACTTTGAATCTCTTACTAACAACAAGCTTGAGCAATTCTATCTTCCACCAACAATTCTCACATCTACCCATTCATTCAAGCCGTCTGTCGAGAACAAGAAACACATACAAGACAATCTCATAGTAGAATTGTGTGTGATACGATAGTCATAGAGCTACACCGATAACGCAAGCAAGTGAACGATAACTATCAATCTCAATCGCATCACATCCAACGTGCCATTCCCAACTTATTCAATATGACCGCCGGCCTAAAAACCATAATTTCCCTCTCCTTTGTACGTTTCTCCTCCCATCATTTACCCCCAACCTCCCAGTCTCTAATTACCCCTAGGTCCTCGCTCTCGGATTCCTCCTTGTAATCCTCTCTTGCGCGCTCTTCCACCAATACCTCCCTCTCCTCGTCGTCCTCACATTCATCATCGCCCCTCTCCCCAATTTTCTCGCATCCCGCTGTGCTTCTCCCGATGACTTCTCCGATTCTTCTTCTTCTGGAGTGCTCGATCTCGGTCGTTTCGCAACGGGTTTCTTGTGCATGATGGGTGTAGCTCTTCCGGCGGTGTTGGCGCATAGTCACATCATTACTGTGCCGGCCATGGTGATGAGTATTATTGGCGGTGTGCTGATTTATGGAACGGTGATTAGTTTTGGAATGTTTTTCCAGGAGGAGGCTGAGTTTTAGGAGGGTGTAGAAGAGGGGATAGGGAGTGATGTAGGGGTAGGAAAGGAGGAATTGGGAGTGTATGGATATATAGGAATTCAAGCGGATGCGGAGACTGGACTTTTCGTGAAGGGAAGAGATAATGATGATGACAAGAGAAGGTTGCGACCACTGTGTAAAAAAGATGAGGGACACAATGTGACCATGGCGATGATGGAGGGATAAGGGCTGTTTGAAGGACGACTTGACCCTTCAGTTCATGGTAGAGAGTTCACTCAAGGGGGTGTTCTCGAGCAATTGGACTTCGATTATGGATTCAAAGTAAAGAATAACACATGCGAATGATTAATGGAATAAAATAACGTCATACGCATGAGATCCAAAGCGGTGAAAGACATGTTACGATGACAAAAGAACAGTTCAGAAGAGCTCAAATGCACAATCTGCTAAATGCTATCAGTTTATACGGAGCGTGGGACAAGATAGCAAGGAGATTTATCCCAACACCCTTAAACTGTCGCAATTGTAGAACCATGCATGCAAGATCATGTACCAGAAATGTGTTGAGAATGTAAAGTGGTATTACCAGTCTATTGAAATATATCTATCTAGGTATGTAACTGCATATGTGAATCCTTGCGGACCTTTTCTTTTCTCTCTATAAAAAGATATATGTCTTAGTTGAGATTTTCTGTACTCCATGTCCCAGTCTCTGTCCCTATCCAATCCATATCCAATACACGAAAGCGCCATCCCAAGGTCATAAGTCGTCAATGCCCCGCTCTCTTTATGATAGATACGATACGTTGAGGTATCTCGAACTGGGGACTTTACCAAAAATTTGTGTCTGAAAATATCCCAAGAAACCAACAAGAAAAGTGAAAAGCCCCATGAATAACTCCGGAAAATCTTCCTTCATTATGCATAATCCAACCGACTCGCGTCGTATGAACAAAATCTCTATCTCATTCAACGAAACACTCCAAGTGTTCCATTAAGCTTTGTTAACATCTCATCTCTCTCGCCAATGGGGGTACTGAGAGCTGTAACAGCTCCGCCAGCACCAATGTGCCATTTCTCTGTATCCTTTTCTTCGGCTTCAATGACGCCATCTTCATCGTCCCAACGGTACATTGATCGGATAGTAACACTAAAGTCGCCACGGCCACCAACATCCATGTATCCTACAACACCAGAGTACAAAGAACGAGGTTTGTGGTGTTCGATATCTTGCAAAAGTTCACAGCTGCGTTTCTTTGGTGCGCCAGTCATAGATCCTGGTGGGAGAGAGGCTGCTAAAATATCGAGTCCAGTGTATGCTATTTTCTTGTCGTCCTTGATAGTGAGTGATGACATATGTGTCGATACATCATCGGATCCGGATCCGGCATAAGAACCTTCAACAACAGAAATCATCTGGAAAACCGATGCATATTCCTCAACCACCATCAATCGTGGAACAGAAACGTTGCCAGACCCACAGACACCATGTAAATCATGACGGACGAGATCAACAATCATAAGGTTCTCGGCCTTTTCCTTCGGGTCATTAAGGAGCGCGGTGGCATCTGAAAGCGTTACTTCGTCAGTCTTACGAACGGTGCCTTTCATAGGTCGCAGAGAACATTTTCCGACGCGATTATCCCACTTGAGGAATTGTTCTGGGGAACTAGAAACTAAAGTCGCAGCGCCAAGGCGAAGGAACGAAGCGAAGGGTGCAGGTTGACGTGTACGAAGATTCTTGTACAAAGACCAGGCACCCTTAGCTGGAGCTGGTCTTGGAGTTTTGTTGTAAAGGAGAATTGACTCAGTAGTATTGTGGACTGATGTGTGAGGAGGATCGCTGCGAAGACGGGTGATGGTAGTTTGATCAGTGAGGCATAACTCATAGGAGTCACCGCTGGCAATCTTATCTTGGCATCGACGGACCTTTGCTTCATATGAATCGGCTGTGGGTTGAGTAATAGCCATGGAAAACTTCGAAGCGGGGGTACGAACTGGTGACCAAGCTCGTTTTTCTCGACGAGAAACTTTTATGCGGTCGCAAGATAAGACAAGATCGCCTGGTCGGAGGGGGGTTTGGCGAGTGCTTTTTGGAGACTTCGGTTGGGACGCTTTCTCAAGCTTGGGGCCAACAGCTTCCATCCACGCAGTGTCGCTTTGACTATCACCAAGGCTGGCTAATTGTTGAAGGTAGAGAACCTTCTTCACGTGGTCAACAACTATACTTCGAGTGACCCATGCGAAGCAGAGATCTGGTCGGTTGCTATGAGCATCCGGTCTATCAACTTTCACATCAATAGTTTCCAGACCCAGCTCGTATGTTGTGTATCCCATAAACCCTCCCCAGAAAGGCGATTCGTCATTGCCTACAGTAACACGCGCAACCTCTAATCGATGTGCCAACAAAGACCACACTCCGCCACAAGACTTCAAATCAATCTCCTCTCTAGCATCAAGATATTCGCCGGATGAAGAGGGGATCTTGCTTACAAATCCGTCCCCGACACGATATTCGAATCTCAAGCAATCATCGATATCCAGGCCTATGATACTATATCTCCCTTTCACATCGGCAGATCCTGCGGAGTTTTCGTCTGCATTGGTAGATTCCAGTAGAATGTGATCTCGTCCCATGTCCTGGATGGCTTCCACAATATCGGGTACAGATAGATTATCTGGCAAAGCAATCGTTCGAGAAACACACATGGTTTTGGGCTTCATATTTTCGGTCGAAGTATCGCTAGTCGGAGATACAGGCATTGTTTGTAAAGCTTCGAATTGTTGAAGAAGGCTCACTCGTGTAGCAGATTGGCCGTGCATTGTGCCGTCGTAATTGATCTTTGTCTTCCTGAAAGTTTTATTCCAATCTTGTGCCGACTTGAACCAGTTTATAAAGATTTCTTTGCTTGTATCATTTGTGCAGACCGACTCAGGATGATATTGTATTGCCCAAAAGGGTTTCGTTGCATGTCGTACACCGACCAAAACTCTGCTGTCTTTCACACCGCAACTTCTCGCATGTTCAGCCTCTAGATCGGCACTTTCAACCCAAGCCAATGGTATCAAATCGGGAGATTTTTCTGTTGGCTCCCATCGTGATGTGTTCCATTCTTCATCTAGAATGTCGTCCTGGCCTATATCGATATATAAACTTTGATACAAGGTAGCGGTAATCTCACCAACCCCACAGAATATTGAATCATTTCCAACGGCGGAGACGGCTTGGGCTTCTCCTGCATGCAGAACCTTTCTAATCATTCCATGTTGTGGACCGTTCAATCTTCTTATTTGTCCACCGAATTCCAAACACAATCTTTGAAATCCTAAGCAAATACCCAATACTGGTAACATCTCCTCATCGGCAAGTCTCCAGATTTTCTTTATAATTCCGATATCACTGTCCGTCTCCGGATTTCCAGGGCCCGGCCCGCATACTACCGCTACATAATGTCTCAATTCTTCGTGTAATGCTTCATCAGATGCTAGTAGGATGGGATCATTGATTTTGACCGTTCGCACTGAGGCGGTGAGTGAAGTTTCAAGGAGAGAAATGATATTATTCGAGAATGAATCATATGCATCGATAAAGAGTATTAAGGGCTTCTGAATCAACATCGTAACTTGTCTGCACCTGCCTTGTGATTTGGGGGGTTCCTCCTGTACTTCCCTTGTGATTCCCAAGTAGAGATTTTCCAAAAGAGAGGAAAGGAAAAGAGAAAAAAGTTGCTTTTTGATAATTGTGTTCAAGGAGGACAAAGATCTGGCGGTGTAATTTTCCCCGGGCGGTGGCAGAATTCAATTAAATAAGGTTTAGCTTACAGGATACGGAATAGTGGGGTATCAGGGGCTGGATTCAATTACTAACTAGCTATGCTTAGGGCTGATTAGCGGCGATTAGTGAAAAACCACGTGTGCATGTACCGACGTCAAGATATAAAATGATAGAAACCATCTTTGGAAGAATCGTGAGAATATTCATCCATCAAATGTCGACGGGCAATCCTCTTTCGTCGATTTAAGTGATAAGCTATGTAAGCTTGCCTAGTATGGATAGCCTCTGTGTAACGGTTATCTCACTGCATGAGTTAGGGTTAGTTTGCTTTCACGAGTCGCATCACTGCATTAATTAGCTAATAGTTCCTCACCAATACGGATAAGCACTACTAACATCCGAAGTCTTACTCGGGTATTGTTTTGCTTTTCAACTCCAATGACCTTCCAAGATTTACTCCGTGATGTTATATATACTTTGATACACTTTACTCGTGGTTAGAACCCTGTCCGGACAGGTCGATCCAGCGAAATAGTTGTGCCTCAGTTCGTGTTCATTTCCATGTCCGGACCAACTTGATCATCATTGATATAAAGGAGAAGAGGTCACACGAGATGATTTTGGTGATTTTGATCCTGTCGGTTTCAATTTATCGAGAGTGCCCCATGAGCTACTGAATCCGAAGCACTTGGTGAGTTCTCATGCTCAAACGAGCCCCAATCAGAAATCTACCCTGCCATATTAGTACTTAGAGGCCGGTGGAATTACGTCTGCCGGTCATGTCTACTCCGAACATCTTGAATTCTAGGATCCTTCCACTTATAATATGAGTCTTCAATGTCAATTCAAGATCAAGGCCATCACAAGTGTGGGACCATGTTGAGACTGACTGAAGATCGCTACTACCACTTCGCCTGTTAAAGACGATGATCTTTGAACTCACTTACAACTTTATACAAATCTCATTCAAAAGACTGGTTCGTTGTCGTAGTAGCGATTGGTAGCGATCGTCAAAACTTCGAGTACCCGAGTTCAGCTATTCATACGGTATTTGGACGAACTTCTGTACTGAATAGAACTCCGATGTAATTGATTCCATTTATTCTGTCTTTATTAGCGGTTCACTCCCATTCTAGATATCGCAATAGCTTGGATTGCTATTGAGGGCTGGTTGCTGTTCAATTATTCGAAAAGAATCAGTGGATTTTCGTATGGAGGGGAAATGCGCTTAGGTACTATATAAGGCGTTTTAAGGAAACGTTCCCATCGAGAGCGCAAAGGCGTCAAACAGGCTTGTTTGGTCAGGTCAAATGCGCTCTTGTGGTGGAGTGGTAACATCGCCTGGTTCGGAAAAAAACCCCGCGGGGGTTTCTCCTCCCGCCCCTCTCGTGGGGCGGCAAGGTTTTGCCAGTTCGTACGTTACTACTATTTATTGATCGAGGCATTCATTATTTTTGTCTTTATACCTAGCCCAGCGTCGCGCTCTGCTGAACTAAATTATGACTGTTGTAACATTTTTTGGATTTTTTTTTTAGGTTTGGTGCTCCAGTGATGCTAGCGGGAAGCTATGAGTGGTCGGTCTATGTTTATGATCATGATTCACTGCATAGTAGACCATCACAATTACCATGGTTCCTGACTGGTCATCTGTACTATAGTTATGTGTGAATATGATCCGGTTACTTCGATTGGCGTGGGGTTTGAAAGCTACATCCCTCAATCGAATACGAGAAAATATACCTATCTCTGTCTTCTCTCTACGTGTACAGGCTCCAAATCTATCATATTTCCATCGAGACTTCCTAATTTGTTAAAGAAGCCCTTTCTTTTGCAAGAGAGATTTTGTCGTCCAGCCAGAGACAGCAATCATGGATCTCTCAATTCTTCAAAACCTGCATATAGATTGTTCTCAATGTAGCATAGCTAATCAAAAATCAGGCAATCCAATTTTCAACTACCCAATTTTATCACTAGCATTGTCTTATGTTTTTGGCAGCCTGACAATGATCTATACTCCCCCACGATTTTCATGGCGAGCATGTCCATTTTTACTTTTCTCCATCTATGGTTGCGCCGCTTTATACCATGGAAAATCGGATGCCGGTTCCTATTCACATCTAACACGCTATGTGCTTGCACACCAAATACTAGGCACCATTAACTATGGATTATTGAGACTAGAGTCGCCGCGTTTATCTGCCGCACCATCCAAGCAGAAACTGAAATAGGCTATGGATGCATATCTCAGCCCAAGACCGATCGGAACGGCTTCCCAGCCGAGAAACCTGCCGCTATTCCCAATAACAAAATTTGTTCATCTGACGGATCCGAATGTATTTGTCATTAGCAGACTACTCATGGCATGGTTTCACTATCTTCTCTGGAGGATAGTCACCGACCTTCAAGGCCATTATCAAGCTCATCTTCAGGTTGGTGATTATAGCCCGGAGAGAGAGCAATTTTTCCGGAGATTAAGTCATCTTACCATACGAGAGATAGGTATAAGAATATTATTACCTGTGTTGTGGATTTTGCCTGAAGTCCTTAGCATTTCTGCGCACCATTATTGTATATCTGCGGTTGCGGTGTTCATTGGTGGTGCCAAAGCTATACCTGGCTGGAACCATCCTGTTTATGGATTATTGACGGAAGCATATACCGTCCGAAAATATTGGGGGTACGTGATATTATCTTACAACCATAGAGAATGCAGTCCATACTAATCTTGTTCTCATTATCAGTCTTTTTTGGCATCAATTCTTGCGTCGAGACCTCATCGCTTGGGCATCATTCATGTCCTCAAAGATATTTCGTATTCCCCAGAATTCTAGATTCAACAAATTTGCCATGCTGAATTTAGTGTTCTTCGTCTCTGCATGTATGCATGCCATGATATGTATTCCCGCAAAAATCAAATTTTCGAACTGCAGAGTAAGTCACATATTTCAATGGTATCTTCTATGTCCTTGTGCAATTGTTGCTGAAGATCTTGTTCAGAAATGGGGGAAGGAAGTGCTGAGACACTACGGATGGAGGAGAGATTCGAGATGGCATTATTGGTTGGGAATCTATGGGTCTGGGGTTTCTTTGCTTGGAGTTTACCTAAATTTGTCTTTCCAAAGGACGATTGCATGCCTTAGAGAGACTATCGCATTTTACTGCGTACCTTCTGTTGAGCTGGCGACTTGGTGGTACCTACCTCAGTACTCGAGAATTATTTATGTAGATGTTCAAATGCGAAAGATATTCAAAACACTTCCAAGATTGTGTAATATCAATTCTATCACCCTTCATGAAATCCCAAGGCCCAAATTTGAGCGTATTGAAGTACCGTACTATCGTGTCATGTCCTCGACCGTATGATTCGGGGTCGCTTCTCGGGGATCGGCATCAAAGTTATTCCGTTGCCTTAGCTTACTCTTGTGCCGTAAGCTAGCTACCTAATTATCCATAATTATTTACATTTAGACAACGTACCCGTTGACCATAATACCTCAACAAATCTTTGAAGAAGGCATATCATCTTCAATATGCCATCCGGAACAGCTCCTCCAGCTGCGGGTGCGCAAGCCCAGGAAGGGGGTATGAGTGTAAGTCCCTCCTAGAGCTGTCTGATAAAATTTACTGATAATGTCATGAACAGCCTATGATCAAATCCGCCGTCCAAGGCATCGCCATTTTCGTTGGCATGCAGTTCCTGATGAAGCAAATAACTGGGAATAAAGGGCCTGCGACTACTACTTCAACTGATGCCTCTGGATTAGTTATGAATGTTCCAGCAAACAATGGTGAAATCCCTCCATATCATGCGCGACCAGACAAATTAGATGAAGGAGCAGTATGGAGTCCCATTCCTCAGAGAATTGCACCGATGTGGCCTACGGACAGTCCTCTCGATATCACTATTGTTGTATCCCCCACTTTTGTAGCGGAACCTATTGCCAAAGTACCAAAGGAGAGAATCGTACTGGATGAGACTGGATTCGCATTAGGAGATTACAACCAACAACGATCTATTGATGCGAGCTTTGATGTTCCAGCCGAGGTGCAGAATAATGGTACACTTTGGGGTCACTTCTATATTGGAATTTCTGGAAGTAAATTGGATCCTGCTACCCCCGGCTATGATCCTACAAGGTCATTTCACTTTGTGCATCCTCTCACCCAATACATTGCGCAAAAGAAAATAAGAAAGACCAAAAATCTTTTGGCAGCAGCTGAAGAGACGGACGAGGTGAGTTTATTAAATATTCAGTTTTATGATATTGCACTAACAGTTGATTAGCCTGAAGAGGAAATCCCTACTGGACCTGTAATCAAATCTCACTATCATCCTAACTTTACAATGTCCTTTATTCCAGATTCTGGCGTCATGAACTTTCCATCTTTACATCCTGCTGTTCGTCAATATGTTCATTTGGAGGCAAGTGGAGCTAGAGATGGTACCGGACTTAATGGATGGTACTATCCACTACTCTTCGTCAACACTTTCTGGCAATTGAAGACTCACATGACAGTACTCAATTCAACAGTTACCAGACTTCCCATTCATATTGACCTCCAGAACTTTGCCAATTGGAAATTCACCTTGATGGCAAGTATGGACGAAGGTGCGAAACAGACCGCCAGAAATGCTGCTCAAGGACAAGCACCACCCGGTGGCGGAGATGGTAGTGAGTTTGAAATGATCAAGGAAGTTTTGTTAGATACCAATATCTATCTTTTGGCTACCACGGTCATTGTAAGTATTTTCCATATGATCTTCGAGATGATGGCCTTCAAATCCGATATCAGCCATTACCGAAACAAGAAGAACAATGTTGGAATATCAGTTCGTTCGATCCTCGGAAACGTCTTCATGCAAGGTGTCATTTTCTTATACTTGATGGACAATAATGAGAATACTAGTAAGTTCATATCTGAGCCCATGTTCATAAATGTAAGTACTCACAGTTATTTAGGTTGGATGATTTTGTTCACTCAGGGAATGGGGATTGTACTCGAGTTCTGGAAGATCACCACGGTGGTCAATGTTCGCATTCGCGATGCACCGAATTCGATTATACCTTACCGCATCGCTTTTGAGGATAAACATGTTCTCTCCGAGACAGAAGAGAAGACCAAGGAGTATGATGCAGTTGCTTTCAATTATATGTACATGATTGCTGTTCCACTTCTTGTCGCCTATGGAGCATACTCCTTAAAATACGAAAGTCACAAATCTTGGTACTCTTTCGTTATCGCAACTCTTGTCGGATCCGTCTACGCATACGGTTTCTTGATGATGGTCCCTTCATTGTACATTAACTACCGACTCAAGAGTGTTGCACATATGCCAGGTAGAGCTATGATGTACAAGTTCTTGAATACATTTATCGACGATCTTTTTGCATTCACTATTAAGATGCCAACACTCCATCGTTTGGCAACACTCAGAGATGATGTTATCTTTTTCGTTTACCTCTATCAAAGCTGGAAGTATAAGGTTGACTACACCAGAGTCAACGAGTTTGGCCAAGGAGGCGACGATGAAGAGGTTGAGGAGAAGATTGCCAATCAACCTTTGAAGAGTATCCCAGGCGCTGATGCGAGTGTCAAGAAGGGGCTTGAAGGTGCCAAGATCGCCGAAGATAAGGCAAATGCAGTTATTGGCAAAACTACAGGAAGTTCTAAGAAAGGCGGAGCAACGAAAAGAAAGTGATAATGTAGTAAAAAGGGTCGGTTTATATGCATTATGAATATATAGGATATTATTAGTTACTTCGAACATACCAGGACAAAACATTGGCGGCAAGAACAATTCAGAAGTATACTCTTCCCATCTGGGAAATATCAATTTCAGTCTCATGAACATGAACATGACCCGCCGTAGAGCCATCTATATTCTGTGAACAGCTTGAGCACCACAGATTTACATTGCCAGCCCTAATTTTCCCAGCACAAGGGATATATGGGTAAATGCCGTACGAGTAGTTCTCGCCAAGTAAAGCACACACGGTGTTGGAATGCTTGGAATGCAATCTATTGCTTCGGGGAAGTTAGTTCGGCATCCGCTGGGAATTGCAGTTACTCGAAATCTGCGGCTGGTGCCTGGTACGCCATGCTTCTGGTGTGGTCTAATTCGTGTTGGTGTATTGAATTTCCGCGGGAGATGTTCATTTGTATCCCGACGGAGGTTCGTCGAATGTTATGGCAAGCGCCTGATATTTATACATGATCAGCTCCTACTCGAAGAGGGTTTTCGAGATTTTTCTTCCTTGAGTAGCGGGCGTTTTTCTAGGGATCCGAAATGTTTTACTGGAAGATTTATAACAAGTGGATCAATAACTCTATCGAAATCTACTGGGGTTGGTATTGAAATGCTCCTTTTTTGGTGAGAGCTCGAGGTGATTTAGTCTATTTTCTTTTGGGCCTTTTCCGTCTTCTGCGTAGTTGTCTTAGACATCTTTCAAAACCACTAAGCGAGTGCGAGTGCTGGTGACTGCGGGGTGGCCTTGTATAAGTAAGGGATGAAGTCGTTGTCTTGTGGCATGAGGGAAGTTCCGAGGCGGCGGTAGCGGTGCAGGGTTCCCCGCTTGTGGTTTCTCTCTTGATGTTTGTAGGTATCACCTCGGTGGTGATTATGACGTCTCCAAAAGATGTCAAATGCATTGATTTATATTGTGTGTATTTAATTCTAGGTGTAGAGCTACGAGAGCTATATGCAATACGTTTGAGCACTAGTGCACTCACGTGTGCAAAATTACTCGTACCAATACAATATTATCAACCTTCGAGTTATAGCTCCGATACTTTGCATAGAGAATTCTTGGTACCACTGGATTTTGAGATTGCTGGACTGGGATTCATGCTTTCGGTGAAAGAGTTCAGCTGGATAAAACTACTAAGCTGTAATCAATTCACTAGATGATAGATTTTGTACGCCTATTTTCAGGTGGCTCATCTACTAAAGCATGAATTAAAACATTTAGGAGCGGTGAAGTCGTGACGGTAGTCATGAATAGAAACAGTCAGTCTATATAAACCACTTGACTTTGGATATATAGTAAACATCAATTTTGACATTGATGTCAATAGGCATTTTTATCATCTCTTTCAAATACCCAATCCTTCTGCAAATCACTTGAACAAAATGCATTTTCGCTTATATACTACTGTCCTCGCGGTGCTCTTGCGCATTACCCTCTGTGATACCGTCTACTACGAGAGTATTAGTAGTGTGGTAACCTCTACTTCCACCCCCATCACCTACTACTCTCCAACAACCTTAGTCTCTACTGCCTATCCAACTAGCGCCGAGATAACAGACACTGGTTACTCCACAACTCCTACTTATTCCACATATCCCACTTATACACTACCCACTAGTCATACATACCCCACAACTACCACCTCTTCATCATCAAGCACCTGCGTATCTCCAACTTTCACCTGGACTGAACCAACTACCGTTCCTACAGATATACCAAGCTATGGAAACTACCGCATGGGGAAACGTGCTGATCCTCCTAAGCTTACACCAGACGAGAGTGAGTTTAGCGTATAGCTTTCTTCTCCCTTCAAGTTTGGTGGATAAAGTTAATCAGTCTTGAATATAATAGTCGAGAGTCTAAGAAAACTCATCCGCATATATGATGCGATCGAAAAGGCAAAGATAGTAATAGATAAAGCGATTGAAGATGGTCTTACTGAATGTCAGGATTTCAAGAATTTGGTTGCGATTGTGAGTTCGTCTGTTCTCGGGGAGTAATGAGATATGGTACTAATGGGTTTACTTTGTTACAGCTCAAAGTTTTCGCGCCTATTTTTGATGGACTTCAAGAGTGGCTCGACGAACGACATTTGTGATTCGATAAAGCATGGGGAAGGGAAAGTTTGGATTTTAAGATTTCTTTTGGAAGAGGAATCATGGGATGGTGATTTTGGATGTAGTCAAAGAGGGGGTTGGAAGAGGAGGACTGCTTATCTTTGGTACACTTGACATTCGTTTGGTTTCTCGAGATACATCTATCTTTTCCTATTTTACAAAATTCAATCATTCACGAATTATGATACCTTGCTTTTATTCTCGATTCATGAACGATCTACATTTCTAAATTGTGCTCGCAGCGTTTAATTCAATTGGCTTTGGTCAAGGTACACTGTGATTCTTAAAGATTGAGACGTCTCCAAGGGATGAACTCATTCTACAGCTCAATCGTGGATAACGAATTGGAAGTCTTTGCTACACTTTACATCTTCAGGACGATCGGATCGAATCTTTGAAGGTGTGTGGTATCAATAGAAAGGCTTGACTGCTCAAAGTTCTAAAATATTTAAAACTCTGAAATACGATTCAATGATAAACATTATCAAGTCCCTATATTAATAAGAATATTCAAATTATTTGAAATACTGGAGTTAATCAAAACATTGAATGATTTGTCAATTTCTACATGTTTTTAGATATTTAAACCCTCAGATTGTTGGACTGCAGTCCGGACTATTGGATACCTTGGTTGATTTAACATATGCCTACGGTGAGAGGAATTTTGACCTTTCTTTAGTGAATCAAAGTGCTAGATGACAATGTGGATTTTTGAGGAGTAGGAAGTGATATATTACAAGTTGTGTTCTTTTAAAGTTGATCGTAAGGTGAAGTTAGATGAATTCCTGTTGAAGTCAAACAGCATGAATTTGAGGATGTTGGTGTTTCTTGTGTAAATTCCTCAACTCGAGTCGTATCTACGATGTTTGTTACTTTATAGAGCTTATTACCATCGGGGAGTATACTTTGCGGCCTCTTTCTCGAACCCAGACCTTGGAGATTATGAAGGTATCTTCAGACGTGGCTTGAGTAAGATCGTTTGGCAGGAGTTAGATTCCTTTCAGATATGGAGGCTGTCGATAAAATATAAGTCAACTACCCCACTTTCCGACCACCCCCTGTTTCCGACCACCTAAAAAATTCATATTATCTACACTTAAAACTTTAATAACTCAATAACTATTGAACTTCAATGAAATCGCCTGTAGAATCACTTTCTATAGCACTAGAGCTATCATCTACCTCATCTTCACGATCTCCAGCTTCAATTTGTGTACGCCTTATAGCTCTAATCCCTGCGAACTTCGAATTTGGAGATACCACAACCTTTCGCCTTTTTCTAGGTAATGCTTCATCTAATTGATATTCTAGCTTTCTAATCTTATTCTCTGCCTCTAAGAGTTCATAATCCTTAGCATCGAATCCTTTTATAATCTTGCGAAATAGTAATCTTCGTGTTGGCAAATCGATCTCCTTCTCTTGAATCATTATATCTCTATATTTTCTGATATCGGCTCCTTTTTGAGGGGTTTTCCATTGAATAAACGATGAATATATATTCCATTGAAGAATAGGATCATCATCAGATTCAGGATTAAGTGATAAAACCTCTCTATTGCTATTTTCAAGCAAAAGTCGACTCATAAGAGGTTTAGCCATATTTTTGGGCCAAAGACCACTAGCTTGCCACCCAGACTTGATATTTTGAATAGTTAAACCTTCTATTCTAGCCTTCTGATAGCAAGAAAGGAAATTGCGCTTTCCAATTGGTGAGGAATCGGATAATAGACTTAATTTATTAAGTTCGATTCGATATGCACTTTTTAGGGGTGAGAACACAGATAAATCGAGTGGTTGTAGTACGTGTGACGTATGTGGTGGGAGAAGTAAGAGATATACGTTGTTATTAAAGCATTCTAACATAAATGCTGTAGTTTCATGGCTTCCGTGTCCGTCCAAAATGAGGAGTCTTGAATTTTCCGGCTGAATAGGGGTAGTTTGAGGGATATAGATCTTTTTCAGCCATTCTAAAGCTGTAGCATCTGTAGTCCATCCATTTTCTGTAGCGGTAAAGTTCCAACCCTTGAATAGAGTCAAATCTGTTGGAAACCATTGTTGTTGAACTGATTTTCCCTTATATATTACAAGGGGAGTAATGCTTTTTCCATTGGCTGAAATGCATTCTATAAAAGAGGTCCAAATTCGAGATCCAGGTTGCTTTTTTTGAATAAATCTTCGATCAGTGCTTCCTACTACTAGTCCATTAAGACCCTGACCCTCCATTATACCTGCTTCATCCATATTCCATCTGTTGGCTGGCTTAATAGCCTTGATTTCAGGGATTGCGAGGTTCCGGAACCACTTCTTAATAATATCAGATGTAGCACCTGAAACTCGTGCAGAATCGATTTGATGTTGCTTCTTAGTTCCAATATTAGGATGCCTTCGAAAAAAGCTATGTATCCATTTCTTTCCAAGTGAGGGATCCTCCCCTCGTACAATAAGGTGCTCTGCCATCTCTCTGATTTGACGATGTGTAGGGCTAGTACCAAGAGCTTCCTGTACTAATATCCATTCTGCTAGTCGATTCTCCTGAATTGGAGATAACTTTTGAAGTATTTGGGCGCCTTTTTGATGCGAAACTCCACCATATATTCGATCGTGAAGTGTGGTACGTGGAACACCATAATCCAAGCTAGCTCTTCGTATGCTTGCTCCATTTGTAATCGCTCTAAGAGCCTCTGCGATATCTTCTTCGGTATATCTATTCTTCATATCACAATTATAATAATATTAAAATTTCAAATTAATTGATTAAAGCATTGTTGAGTTATTCAAAGTATAAATTTTATAATTACTCAAAGCGGTGTGGTTTTTGAGGTGGTCGAAAAGAGGGGGTGGTCGGAAAGTGGGGTAGTTGACTTACTCTACATTCTTGACACCAACACCATCACGACACCTTTTGATATTAAAAGGTATGGAACTTTGTTGAATAGTAGCAACTTCACCAGGCATTTATACTTCTTCTCTCAACTCAATCAATTCTACCGCAAGCCAACAACGTGATTTAAGATTCAATATACTTTTGAGCACGATCCTTGTAGGAGTTCTCCCACTCGTACACTGTCTTGGGTCCTCTGCCGGACTTACATCCCCGGTTACAACTCCCATTTATTTGACCATCTCTTCCCAAACTCAGAGTGGTTCTATTATTGTCTCATCCACGACCAGCAAATCAGCTCACAGCTCATCTTCAGTTGATTCTCGGGGTTGAGCTCGCTTTCCAGTTTATCAAATGATCTGGCAGCTACTTCCACAACTCCACTGATAGAAACCACTACCATTACTTTATCAACTACATTCACTACTTCAAGAGTAGCGACAAGTGTTGACAATTCCTCAGTTAGCTCTTTAAGTGTGTGTCCAACTATTGTAGCAAGAAATGATGAAGATGAAGATGACGATGCTGCTCTTCTAGCTGCTAGTGGGTTCCATGAACTCTCTTTTTTCCCCCGATTCTATGTAGAAAAGCTAACGCCGGCTATGCAAAGTGGCCTACTGGGAATCTGTATTCAATAATACAAACTACCTCTCACTTGATGACACAATCAGTCAAGTATTACAGTTAGCCAATAGTACAGACAGTTACGATTCAGATGTGCCTACTACCGATCCCCTCCAACTGAACCGAATTCTCCCATCATTCCCGATTCTTGTCCACCCACTTCACTTGAGAAAAAACACAGAAATGCAGCTGAGAATTTCGTAAGTTTGACCAGTTAATGATACCAAATGATATGGAGAAAAAACTGATACGAGTGCGTACAGCTGGAGCGGCTTAAGAAGCACGTCGGGATAGAAATTGGGCTTCATCGCGAATGGGGATTTGGAGACCGGAAGTGATTTGCGGGTTTGCTGTTTTACAAGATATATTGATTGAAGAGAGGCGAAGTAAGGGGAAGTGTGGGTGCTTGGCATTACTTACGGATCGTTGAAAGTGGATAGTATAATAATAAGGCACACTGCCGTGTCTCCTCGTGTCGTATAGACTTTAAGGTCATATATACTCATAAAATTGTTTGAAATGCATTCTTCCGTACCAAATACTCCCTCTAGAGCCGCGGCTTCACAGTCCGAGCTTTGTTAGCGAGACAGCTATCTGGTTTTGATGTGCCATATATAAGACGACACTTTCCCCACTAAGTACATCGATAACTCTTTCCCTATGACTTGCATACCAGGTAAAGGAAGAAAGAACCAAGAATCATCATTTCATCACGTGATGTGGCTTAACCTTAACCAACAGTGCCCAAGTCAACGTTGCATTCCAACCTCCATCAAAACAAGGCGGGCGAAGAAAACTGACGACACATCCCACAGCCATCCTCACAAACTATCCTCATCCGTCGAAACATCCTCCTCCTCCCCCAAATCACAATCCTTCATCGGGGTATCCACTTTGAGGATCCCCTCCCCATCCACACTAGTCCCCTGACCCTTCTCCACAATTTCCCAAAACAACCCCGGTTTCGTTTCGAGCACCCCCACCACCCAACACGCCTTACAAAACTCCACTCGATAATCCTTCCACTCGATCGTTCTCTTGCTCTCATCCCATCCCCGTTTCTCCACAACCTCCATCGGCATACTTTCTAATCGACTCCACAACACCACCGTCTCATCTTCTACACTCCGCGCATCTAGTACCGCGAATGTGTTGCGGCTGAAATGGTACCCGTCGGTTTGCGGGGCCGAAGTCACGAATTCGGAGAGCGTGGAGAGAGAGGCGTCTAGGAAACCGGTGCGGAATGGAGAGATGGTGGTGCGGGTGCGTTTGCCCAGGGGATGGGAAGTGGGTGTGCGGACGATAGACCAGATTTTGGAACTTTCTTGTGTGCGTTGGGAGAGTTTAATGAAGCGGGAGATTAGCTAGGAAAATGTAAGTAGGCATGTAATGAATGAGATAAATTGAAAGAAGAGAAGAAATCATACTTCGGGTGGGATTTCAGCAGTGCAGAAGGTGAGTATGTTTTCAGCCATCTTGATGTGGTTTCGTGAGGTTATTCTTGAGATTTGGGAAAGCAGTGTCAAATCTTAATCTGTTTTGATACTGAAAAGTTAAGTGCTGAGCTTTGTGTATTTATTGCTTTGATAGATTAGGATGGCTGATGCCATGGAGTGTATCGCCTAATTTTGTCACGTCACCTTACATAATCATAAGATCGTTGGTAGGGTAGATAGGGAAGAGAGTTGTATGAAACGAACAAGGTACCCCAAATTCTTTTCAGAGCTCACAGTACCAATAGTATCTTCCAGAATAAGAAGTGATCGCGTCTTTTTTTTTTTGGATTTCGTTAACCTGCTAATCAATAAAGGCATTAGATTTTCGCTTGAGTCTAGGAGGATAAGGTCCGGTGTGAGATGGTTTAATGTCAAGCATCATTAGCATCGACAGTTGCAGAATTTTAGGTACCTTTGTAGTTCCTTCTAAATATTGAGCGAATGAGTGAAGAGTACTTGACAGAATAATCACCTGACAAACTAAAAGTGAAAGAGAAAAGGTGCTCCGAACACAATTTAGTCTCACGCCATGCACATTCTCTACATGCCTCCAGTTGATTTGTATAACCCATTCTATCACACTTACTTAATGTTTGACTGGAAGAACGTGATAGGAAATCTTATTACTTCCCATCATCTAAGATCCGCATTTCGTATCATCCTTAGTGGGATTACAGCGAATATTTTTATTAGCCAATAAAATCCGTGATTCTCATCAATAATCTTTGCACATACTGAAATTGGAAGCCGCAATATTGCATCCACATCTTCATCATGGACCTCGACCACGAAGCATGCTAACCCGGCCCTCTTCTTGTGATAGGAGTCTGGGAAGGTCACACATTCGATATAGCTTGGTGTCCAATTCTTGAGTGTAACACATGCCCAAGGTCGATATCAGCCTCGGCCGCTTTCGTAGGCCTGGTTTAGTAAGATGCCTTTCCCAGAGTCGATGGTGAATAGATCGCTGCCTTGATTGACGCAGGATGAGAAGCAGAGTCCGTATGTTGCGGTTCTGTAACCAATGTCGATGGTTAGTTCAGATGTATCAGAAGAATCAAATTTAACGACCTCCGGGACTTCAGACCCGGTGGCTCTGGTTGTATGTAAGTTGAGTGATTGACAATTGAGAATCGGGTACAGGCAGCCATGGAATAGAAGAACTCGTGGTGATAGTACCCAGAGTTTCAAGATATCCAAGGTATTATCGACCAATGCTGAGTCTGTATACGCGGCGCATTGCAATTATTCGTCATGGAAAGCCTCAGCCAGTTCGTGTCATTCCCACAATAGAAAAGAAAAAGCGGCATTGATATCTATTCTAGGCAACGAAATACAGAAAAGAGAACTGCTCGTTACACTCATAACCAGGCGGACATACCTTTCCCTTATCGAAATGATCCGAAAATGATGCAAAAGCGAAGTGTAAGCACCCCTACTCTACTACCGAGGCCGATTTGATCGATATAGTCAAAACCCTAAAAATAGATTGCTATCTGATGAAAAAGTGTATTTAGTATTCAGAAATGTAGGAATAAGAATTAATATTATTTATCACTCTTTCTTCTTTTTAAACTTTATAAATACTAATATATTATTTCTTTTTAAATATTCAACTTTCTTTAATTTTTTCTTATTCATTTTATATAATTTCATTTATATAATTATAATAATTTAATCTAAAATTTTATTAACTTAATATAAAGAATCAATTTATAAATAATATAATAATAAATATAATATTTATAATATAAAAATAATTTTTTTTTAAATCCATTATTGAAATTACAATTAGAATTATTATTAAATACTTTGATATTTAAAGATTTAATTAAAAGTTTAAAATTAACTATAATAATCTCATATTTAAAAACAAAATTATAATATATTTTATTTTATTATATAATAATTAAAGAAAAGCTTTTAAAATTGTCGGAACGTATGATCACATGCTTAAGCGAATCACATGATTCTTCCCACTATATATATATTGGGAAGAATCATACCTTATTCTAAATAATCTCAATTTATATTATTCATTTTATATAGGTTATACAGTACTGTATATGGTGATTTGAGTTGACGATTCCCCCCCCCCCTCAAGTGATCTCAATACTAATTAGTTGTTACGAGAGCTGCTTCTAGGGTTATATAAAAGTGTCTAGAGTTCTCTCAAAATGGTTTAGATTAAACTTTAAATAGGAATTCAATAAGATTATAATTAATTACAATTCTTATAACGTAACGTATGGGGAACTCGGACATATGGGGAACTCGGACACTTTTTCAATTATTCTACACGCGATCTTGTTCTACAAGCCACACAATCCTCCAATTCCAATTCCGAATCACTTGAACTATTCTCTAGCTCTTCTTCTTCAATCTCTTCTTCTGATTCTTCAATTGGGCGTTTGCATGGCCGTCCTCGTGGCTTTTTCTCCTTCGGTTTTTCCTCCGCCTCACGTACCATTTTCAATACTTCCTTAGTACTAAAGACAAATTGACCTTGTAATTTGACTCTTTTGCCTTTAGTTCTTTTCTTTCGAGTCTCAATTACCTCCTGAGCATCAGAGAGCTGTTTCCGAAGTAGGGCTATCTCAGCATTTTGAGATTCTACAAGCCTAGTCATTCTCTTGGCATATCGACGAGTTGGCGATGCAGGAGAACCACTGCTTGCTAGAGCTGTATTAAAGATCTGATTTGCTTGCCTTAGTTCTGTTCCATCTGGAGGAGAACTCCTGAGTATAGACAAGTCTAGGTCTTGATTGGGGGTTCTCATTTGTGGAGTAGAAGGTTGCTGGGAGGAGTTAAATGGTAATGAATCGAGTACTTTTCGTGGGGCAAAAGGTACTAAACCAGCTCCTCTCCAGCCAGCTTTAATATTAGAAGAATTCAATGCTTTTTTTCTAATATTTTGAAAGAGTTCTACCCATTCAGCTCTTTGGATTCGCTTTACACCAGCTCGAGAATATTGATCGACCTCTAAAGCATGATATCGTTTCATTGGCCCATACACCGCAATATCAAGTGGCTGAAGCAAGTGAGAGCAATGAGGAGGTAATATAAGTAAATCAATATCATTATCTATACAGAAAGCAATAAAGCTACCTGTAATATGGCTTGAATGGCCATCCATGATCAAAAGTCGAGGTCGGTCACCTGACACTTTCTTGGATTCTGGTTCGAAAACCCTTTTTAACCATTCTAATCCATGGCTATTTGAGGTCCATCCATTTGTACTAGTAGAGAACTGCCAGCTTTGAGGTGTGTCCTTTGGAATCCATGCAGAATTCGTATTCTGAGCCTTGAAAATGACCATAGGTGATAGAGCATTTCCAGCTGCATTGACACATTCAAATGCAGTTATCCATTCTTGCTTGCCAGCTGTAACTTTCCAATTCGATTTCTGAGTAGAATCGACTATAATGCGCGTACTTTGAGTACTTCCAACTCCAAATCCGGTTTCATCCATATTATACATATCATCTAATTCATACTTTCGCTCAATGAGACGCGTGCGAAACGCGTCAAACCAAGCCTGAATATTCTCCGGAGTTGCTTCTTTAGCCCGATTAGACTCTAATTGACGTGAATAGCATGTTTTAAGTTCTGGATGTCGTTTTTTGGAATCTATAGATCCATTCGTGGCCTATAGGTGGAATTTCTGTCGAGGTAGGATTTCGAGATGACGCGACCCGAACGCGTCGAAGACGAATTTCGTCGGCCATTTCCTTCACCAACATAGGTGTAGCAGGGAATCCAGTGATGGTAAGTCGTGAAATCCATCGTACAAGAGTATTTTCTTCTGCGTTTGAAAGAATTTGAGCCATTTCGTGGGTTTGGGAACGTGTTTTCTTCCCAGCCAGCCTATCAGCTAGGGTAGACTTAGGGACTTCAAAATGCTCTGCAGCCTTTCTAATTGATTTAAATTCTTTCAATTGAAGTGAAATTATAGCCTTTTGAAGCTTCTCTTCAATTTGAGCAGATGTAGAAGGTGATTGGGTATGCATAATAAAAGTTATTGCGGTTTCAAGTTGGTGATGGGCTAAAAGTGTCCGAGTTCCCCATATGTCCGAGTTCCCCATACGTTACGTTAACTATAATAATAAAATTAATAATTATTCTTGAACACAAAGCTCTATATTGTAATAAAACTTATTCTCTATATAGACCTTTGTACTGAAGTCGATCGGCAAGTCGATCGACAAGTCGATTGATAAGTCGATCGGCTTTTAATCATATGACACTTGTCTCATAATTCCTATTGTCCTAGCTTATCCTTTTGTCCTGGGGTTTAATCCTCTAGAACATTATTAATCCTAGTGAAGCCTTCTTGTTTATTGTGTTTTGTCTTTCCTAGGACCTATTGTCCTAGGAATTATGTTCTAGGTTTCTAAGGTATCCTATAACTAATACTATATATGCCTGAGGTGTCTCTTGAGTGTCTAATGTTCTTCAGTATATTACAGTTGAATTACTGAGGCCTATAATATTATTATAGCTTATAAGTCAGTAATTCTACAGCCTGTTACTAATCCGTTGTAACATTAGTGTTTACCTTCTTATTAAAGGTATTTACAAATTAGATTACTTTCTAAGGTTTTATATAAAAGTATTTATATGAAAATAAAGAGGGTAGTTTAGACTATTTAATAAGATATTCTTTAAAAAAATGAACAAGATTGTATTAGATTATATTTACATATAATCTATATTAAAGATTAGAATATTATATTCTTTATATTGTTTTCTTTAATTAATATGCTAAAAAGGGATTTCTGACTACAATTGATTTCTTTAAAATTGAACAAATTAATTAATTTATAAACTAGACTATTATATTTATAGAATTCAATAAATCAACAGTTCAATTTGTATTTACTATGTTCTGCTCAAAGCTTAGTATATTTTTCGAATTCGAAATCTTCTCTTCTTTTGTATAAAAAGAACCGCTTTCTTACCCCTCTCCCTGTTACGAT